ATTAGGCTCGTGAAAACGCAGGATCGCCTAGAATCGCCGATCGTGAGAAGCCCAAACAGTGTCGCTTCAAAATCTTCTTCCAATCGCAATTTGAAGTTGTCGGGAATTGCAATTGGAAAGCCGCGTCTGTCGCGACTCCCAATTTCCATCGGAAACCAGGGCATCTTCTTTTATTTATTCCCAATTTCAATTGGAAACCAGCGTAAATAGCTTATCTTCTTCTATATATTTGGAAATCGAGACTCCTACTGCCAATATACTTCTAATTGCAACTGGGCTTTTTTTCTGCTTGTGCGACATCTAGTCCTCTGTCACGACTTGTGACCCTTACTTCTGCTTCTGCTCCTTGTGTTATGTTTTATAAAAATCAAATTAAAACATTAAACATATATATATATATATATATATATAGTAGGATCTTACGATCCGAGTCACGATCTTACGATGTTACGATCTTCATTATGCTTATCGATCCTACGTAGAATCTAGAGTTTGACTACCTTGAAAGGAAGTAATGTCAGCAGAATACACATCTGAATTTGAGCACTCTTGAATACATGGGATTTTAAATTACCTGATGAATAATTTTCCAAACTGTTGCAAGTTCAGCCCTACCTGTAGGTGAAAAATGACCCTTCTTTCAGTAATAGAAACAAACAACAAAGAGAACAACAAGCCAAAGAACTCATAAGATTATAACTAGGAGGAATCTTGGAGATGGTGTTTCATCCCATCTCCCAAAATCGAATATAAATAGCCCAACGTACATGCTGAAATAATTGGCAGGGGATTATTAAGGGAAGGATCCATAAATACAAGACAAGGAATCAGAGAAGACGTTTCAATCATACCAGGAAATCTGCACATCTGATACGCAACGCCTAGAATCTGGAAATCTGAGATTGATAGTATTTAGAACCACAACAACTTGATAGTATTTAGAACCACAACAAAAAACAAGACAGTAAAATGCAATTGCCTTAACTCAAAACACGACCTAGAGTCTGACCTAAAAATTAAAATCCAACGGATTGTACCCGCAAACCTAACGCAAATTTGATTGTCAAACACTAAAGTTAAAAGTCACCTAGAACCTAACCCAAAACCAAACCCAAAATCAGGTCCAATCCCCCAAGTAAGAAACAAAATCCCTACCCAGAACCTAACCCAACAACCAATTGCAGGGGTGCATTAAGCTATTCCCATGTTAAAAAATTGTGAATAAGTACAAAAGGAATGAATATGACATTAGCAGGCTTTAAGAATGAAGACCAACCATTGTGTGTGGCGTTTGACATGGTAAATATAGCCAGTTAAGTGGAATTTGAATGTCACATGGCCTTAAGCACCTATTTGTAATAGTGTGGTTTTGATTAGAGTGCAGCAGTTCATATTAAGCCAATTGTTTTTGGGAGATATCTGACAAAAAGAGGAAAACCAATATCGGTACATGGTGAAATTTCCTTTTTGTTTTTTGGTGGAGGCGTTGAAATTTCCATTTTGTTGAAAGCACCGCCAAGCTCCAGCCAATAAACAAGACTCGGCATGAACCCTGTCACCAAATAGGACATGAAAGAGGTTAATAAATAGGAAAATCTCTTACCAAGGTGAATATTGTCAAATTGACTCTCCATCCAAGTATATATGTACAGTAATATTTTTGTTATTGTGTTGTGTTTAAAATTTAACGTGGTGGAACTCATCTACTAAAAAATAAATTTTCTACTACGTTTCTTCACCTTTTGGATAAATAAACATTACCATTGAAGGGAGTAACGGTCACCCTTTTACCCAAAATTATTGGGTGTCGCCCACTCTCTAAAAGGGATGTTATATCCCGGCCTTGATTCATTGGGAAATCTTCCCAAAGAGTCAACACAACTGGTTTCATTCTTTTTAAGATGAAAGTAAAAATGTTTGATATACACAATGTTAAGTAATTAGAATAACTATGTCATACTTACTCTTCATTCACAAGCATGAAATCATGTGCGGTTTTGGCATGTCCAGGAACGGAGACATACTCTCTGGGCATTCTCTGAATCACAATGGCCATGAAATCTAAATGTAGCAAACATAAAAAAGAGTTTAGATGTCACATCATTGTGATTTTCCGTATTATGTTAATGAAGACTAACATTATTCACATACTGATTGGGGTTTTAGAACCGCATAAGTCATAGAAGTCAAAGAATTGTGTGAGGATAGTGTCTGTCTCATTTGTTGCCTGAATTTGTTCTGATTTAGGGGCTGCCTCAATCCAAGTCTTTTTACTCAACATCTAAATGTAATTATAGTTTGCGGATGGGGGATCACCACTATACTTGGTTAGGCATGGCAGCAGCATTGCTTATGTAGTACGTGTTTTTGAGGCCGAGTATCTTATCACTTTGTTCAATGTCACCACTATTTGCGAGAGCAAGAACCTTGGTACCCTGTACAGAAATGGTTGAATGGAACATAATTAGTGCATGTAATATGTACGCTCATCCTGCAATATAAAAGGTCTGTACTTGTTAGGGCTCGTCCTTGAGTCTTTGATGTTCCGTTTCTCCACAACTCTAACCTTACTCGTCCTTGAGTCTTTAATAATTTAGGGCTGGGTTTTGGTGCTAGTTTTTGGGGCTCGTTGGTTGGGTTTTGAGTTTTGGGTTTAGACTTTGGGTTTGTTTTCGTGTCGGGTCACAAAAATTAAAACTAAAAGATCGTTGAAGGAAGACACATATTGTGAACCTAGGTATTACACCACAACCTAATATGATAAAATAAATTGAAAATTGAGAAAGTTAAACATAGTTCAGAACAAAAAATGATTTATGATTTTAGATTTTTAACCCATAAAGGGAGTTCAAAGACTGTGTGTTCATACCCTTTAGACTTGAAATTGCTACTGTATTTTTTTCACACCTCTAAACATGCTGGTTCAATATTTTTAAATGTGATATGGTCATTATATCCAAGTCTAAAAAAACAAAATAATTCAAATCCATAAGAATCATAGAATACTTTAAATCTCCCAACTTTGAAAAATTGATGTTAAATTGTAAGTTATCTTGTTTTAGGTTCAGGAAATGTGGGAAAAGAATTGTGTATACCCAACCATTCTAACCCATTTGCATAATGGATTTCAAGAGTCCAACACTCACTCCTAACCTTTACCAGAGTCCAACACTCACTCCCACTCACTCCTTACTTTATAGCCTTGAAATTTAAAAAATCACATGGCACACCTCTCATTTTTCAGTTCCAAACAGGATGGCAAAGACGTAAAAAACAGGTCATAATTTAAAAACTGCTAAAAAATGTATTCTTTATAGTCAAAACCTTGCAAGTTATTATGCAGAATGTTCAAAGGAAGTAATGTGCGAAGAATACACATCTGAATTTGAGCACTCTTGAATACATGGAATTTAAATTACCTAAAGAATAATTTTCCAAACTGTTGCAGGTTCAGCCCATAGAAACAAACAACAAAGAGAAGAACAAGCCAAAGAACTCATAAGAATATACCTAGGGGGAATCTTGGAGAGGGTGTCTCATCCCATCTCCCAAAATCGAATATAAATAGCCCAACTTACATGCTGAAATAATTGGCAGGGGATTATTAAGGAAAGTATCCATAAATACAAGACGAGGAATCAGAGAAGACGTTTCAATCATACCAGGAAATCTGCACATCTGATACGCAACGCCTAGAATCTGGAAATCTGAGGTTGATAGCATTTAGAACCACAACATTTTGATAGTATTTAGAACCACAACAAAAAACAAGACAGGAAAACGCAATTGCCTTAACTCAAAACACGACCTAGAGTCTGACCTAAAAATTAAAATCCAACGGATTGCACCCGCAAACCTAACGCAAATTTGATTGTCAAACACTAAAGTTAAAAGTCAACCTAGAACCTAACCCAAAACCAAACCCAAAATCAGGTCCAATCCCCAAAGTAAGAAACAAAATCCCTGCCCAGAACCTAACCCAAACACCAATTGCAGGGGTGCATTCAGCTATTCCCATGTTTAAAAATTGTGAATAAGTACAAAAGCAATGAATATGACATTAACAGGCTTCAAGAATGAAGACCAACCATTGTCTGTGGCATTTGACATGGTAAATATAGCCCGGTTTAGTGGAATTTGAATGTCACATGGCCTTAAGCACCTATTTGTAATAGTGTGGTTTTTATTAGAGTGCAGCAGTTCATATTAAGCCAATTGTTTTTGGGAGATATCTGACAAAAAGAGGAAAACCAATACCGGTACATGGTGAAATTTCCTTTTTGTTGATCGGTGGAGGCATTGAAATTTCTATTTTGTTGAAAGCACCGCCAAGTTCCAGCCAATAAACAAGACTCGGCATGAACCCTGTCACCAAATAGGACATGAAAGAGGTTAATAAATAGGAAAATCTCTTACCAAGGTGAATATTGTCAAATTGACTCTCCATCCAAGTATATATGTACAGTAATATTTTTTGTTATTGTGTTGTGTTTAAATTTTAACGTGGTGGAACTCATCTACTAAAAAAATAAATTTTCTACTACGTTTCTTGACGTTTTGGATAAATAAACATTACCATTGAAGGGAGTAACGGCCACCCTTCTAACCAAAATTATTGGGTGTCGCCCACTCTCTAAAAGGGATGTTATATCCCGGCCTTGATTCATTGTGAAATCTTCCCAAAGAGTCCGCACAACTGGTTTCATTCTTTTTAAGATGAAAGTAAAAATGTTTGATATACACAATGTTAAGTAATTAGAATAACTATGTCATACTTACTCTTCATTCACAAGCATGAAATCATGTGCGGTTTTGGCATGTCCAGGAACGGAGACATACTCTCTGGGCATTCTCTAAATCACAATGGCCATGAAATCTAAATGTAGCAAACATAAAAAAGAGTTTAGATGTCACATCATTGTGATTTTCCGTATTAGGTTAATGAAGACTAATATTATTCATATACTGATTGGGGTTTTAGAACCGCATAAGTCATAGAATTGTGTGAGGATAGTGTCTATCTCATTTGTTGCCTGAATTTGTTCTGATTTTGGGGCTGCCTCAATCCAAGTCTTTTTACTCAACATCTAAATGTAATTATAGTTTGCGGATGGGGGATCACCACTATACTTGGTTAGGCATGGCAGCAGCATTGCTTATGTAGTACGTGTTTTTGAGGCGGAGTATCTTATCACTTTGTTCAATGTCACCACTATTTGCGAGAGCAAGAACCTTGGTACCCTGTACAGAAATGGTTGAATGGAACATAATTAGTGCATGTAATATGTACGCTCTAAGATTGATTATTTTATAAGCTTTATAAGCTTACCTCCTCATCCTGCAATATAAAAGGTCTGTACTTGTTAGGGCTCGTCCTTGAGTCTTTGATGTTCCGTTTCTCCACAACTCTAACCTTACATGTCCATTCCTTTTTGTTGTCATTTATTCCACTGATCATTCCACCTTACATGTCCATTCCTTTTTGTTGTCATTTGACTTTAGGATTAAGAGTTTGGGTCTATCTTTGCGATGGGATTTTGTATCTGGGTTGTCGGGTCACTAAAATTAATAATTTAGGGCTGGGATTTGGTGCTGGTTTTTGGGGCCTGTTGGTTGGGTTTTGAGTTTTGGGTTTAGACTTTGGGTTTGTTTTCGTGTTGGGTCACAAAAATTAAAACTAAAAGATCGTTTTAGGAAGACACATATTGTGAACCTAGGTATTACACCACAACTTAATATGATAAAATAAATTGGAAATTGAGAAAGTTAAACATAGTTCAGAACAAAAAATGATTTATGATTTTAGATTTTTTAACCCATAAATGGAGTTCAAAGACTGTGTGTTCATACCCTTATGTAGAATCTGGGTTAGGTTTTGGCGTTTGTGTTTGGGACAGGTTTTTGGGCCTGGGTTTTGGGTAGACTCTAGGTTGGGTTATAGAGTTTGGGATTGTTTTTGAGTCTGGGACTTTGGGTTTACTATTCGGGTTTTGGGTCTGGTGCTTTGGGCTGGTTTTTGGAAGAATGATGTTCCAAGTTCTTGCGGATTTAGGCGTATCTGTAATTAAAAAATGTTTCTTCTTTACTTCTACTAATTGTGGCAAACAACACACCAATAAACAAACCAAATAACTAATATCATTCTACCTGGGAGGATACCTGCTATTACAACTAAATTAATATCTGGGTTGATGGGTCAGTGAAATTAATAAAAGATTGTTGAAGGGAGACACATATTGGCTGAGAGGATATTGATAGATAATGAAACTCATGGGTCGGAACAGTAGCCTTTAAATTATGCCAGTTTTTTCTTTGAGATGTGGTACCTTTGAATGGTAACTATTTAGTTTCATACATTTGGAAGTGTCGGTTATTTTCATACTGTCCTAAGCTTAAAGACATATTAATTTAATTTATAGATGAATAACAAAATTCACCACACATACTTCGGGGTTTGTTTTAGATTTTTATGAAATTACTGAATTTCAAGCACTTTAAAAAGATCACATAAATAAAAAGCACTTCCAGATTATCTAACACATAAATGGATTTCAAACACTTTCAAACAACACCAGGATTTCAACCATTTGCATAATGGATTTCAAGCACTATCAAAGACGCCCTTAATATGAGGCAATGATTTAACACAGAAATGGAGTGCAAAGACTTCAGAAACAACACATAATAAACATCTGAAAACTAAGCTGCAGAATACGAAGCAAAAACACATCATACCTAAACCTCTATGGTTTCAATGAATGGATTGAATTAAAATTACCTCAAGAATGATGTTCCAAGGTCTTGCAGGTTGACGCGTACCTATATATGTAAAATGATCGTTTAGTTGCAATAATAGAAACAAAGAACAAAGACAAGAACAAGGAAAATAACTCATATAATCAAACCTAGGAGGAAACCTGGAGATGGTGCCTCATCCCATATCCCAAAAATTGAAAAAACAAATAGTGGTTGTTCGAGGTTTACTCTTTGGTAAGCTTTTACTTCTAGTTTACAAGTTTTAAGTCTTGAGTCTCGCTTTGCTTACTCGGGGTTAGGTTCTAGGTTTGGGTTAGAGTTTTTGTTTTTTTTGGGAGTGGGTTTTGGGTTTAGATCCGCATTTTAGGCTTTGGTACATCAGAGCTGGGTTTGGATCATGATTTTACTTTCTCCATTAGTTAAAGTAGGTTGCTGGCTAGGAGGATATTGAGTGACAGTGCCTGCGGCTGAGTTTAATGGAAACATTGTTGGGAGGGGTGGAAGTACGGGGCAGGATAAGGGGCATGGACTTGGGGTGAAAAATTTTGGATCCATCACACTCTTGAATA